GGGAATTGACTGAGTTACCTACGGGCAAACGACCTGTGGGCTGTAAATGGGTATATACTGTGAAACACAAAGCAGATGGGTCTATTGAGCATTACAAGGCAAGACTTGTGGCAAAAGGGTTTACTCAGACATATGGCATTGATTATCAGGAGACCTTCGCACCCGTGGCTAAGATGAATTCAGTCAGAGTACTTCTCTCTCTAGCAGCTAATCTAGATTGGCCACTTTATCAGTTTGATGTCAAGAATGCTTTTCTCCATGGTGACCTCGAAGAAGAAGTATATATGGACATTCCTCCGGGTTTTGAGGATCATCAAACAGAAGGGAAAGTATGCAAACTTCGGAAGTCATTATATGGTCTCAAACAGTCTCTAAGGGCTTGGTTTGAGAGATTCACTCAGGCTATGTTTAAATGTGGCTTCAAACAGAGTCAGGCAGATCACACCTTGTTTGTGAAACATTCCTCATGTGGTAGGACTACAGCACTTATTGTTTATGTAGATGACATAGTTCTTACGGGCAATGATAGTGAGAAAATACCTCTATTGAAGAAATATTCAATAGAAATATTTAGCTAGTGAGTTTGAAATCAAAGACTTGGGAAGCTTGAAGTATTTTCTGAGAATTGAAGTTGCTCGCTCTAAAAATGAGATATTTATCTCACAGAGAAAATATGTGCTTCACCTGTTGAAGGAAACTGGGATGCTTGGCTGCAAGGCATGTATCACTCCACTGGAACCCAATCAGAAATTAGGTGATGATGAAGGAGGAGAAGTTGTTGATAGGGGGAGCTATCAGCGATTAGTGGGTAAGCTCATTTACCTATCTCACTCCTGTCCTGATATTGCTGTTTTTGTCAGTGTGGTTAGTCAGTTTATGCATGCTCCTCATCAGATTCACTTTGAGGCTGTCATGAGAATCTTGAGGTACTTAAAGTCTGCTCCTGGTAAGGGTCTTTATTTTTCAAAGTATGATCATCTTTGTGTGGAAGCCTATACAGATGCTGACTGGGCTGGGTCAGTAACTGATAGGAGATCGACTTTAGGGTATTGCACCTTTGTTAGAGGCAACCTAGTTACTTGGAGGAGTAAGAATCAGAATGTGGTTGCTAGGTCAAGTGCAGAAGCTGAGTTTAGAGCTATGGCACAAGGTGTGTGTGAACTTTTATGGATTAAGTTATTGTTGAGTGATCTTGGTATTGAGCAGACGGACTCCATGCGGTTATACTGTGATAATAAGGCTGCTATCAACATCGCTCACAATCCAGTTCAACATGACCGGACAAAACATGTTGAGATTGATCGCCACTTCATTAAGGAGAAACTCACTAGTGGTACCATTTGTACTCCTTTTGTCCAGTCTGGTGAACAACTTGCTGACATTCTCACCAAGGGGGTTGGGAATAAACCATTTCATGACATATTAGGCAAGCTGGGCATGAGAGATATTTTCACACCAGCTTGAGGGGGAGTGTTAGCATTACATATTATATTATTATCTGAGTTATTGGTTTGTAATTGTTCTATGCCCTCGGGGCTCATCTTGTAATTGTCTCATCTTGTAAACCCTAATCTTCATTTATAAATAGGGGATGATATCCTATCAAACCCTAAGCTGGTTACTCAAGGTTCAAAAACATCATTCCAATACGGTCATCCACAGAATTATGAAATCAGGTCAGAATTTGGACATTATCATAATCTCAAGTGTCACAAGAAGTCAAATATTCTTCTTGTTTCGGGTCCAATAGACGAGGAATAGAACAAAAAATATAGCCCAATTTTTTCTGACTAAGAAGAAAATTCTTCATAATACTAGCCCAACAAGCATAATTGGCACTAGTGAATTTACATCTAATGGCTTGTGTTTTGGTGTCCGTCATTGTAATAAACCAAAAATTTACAGGTTGAAATATAATAAATAATAACAACTAAGTGGGCCAAACTGTAAATAAGAGGTTTTAATCCAAATAAAAGTATTGAGGGCACAAATGGTCATAGTTACGAATAGAGAGAGATAGAAAGAGAAGGAACCGGGTAGACGATGCTGATGAAGACGACGAGAGCAGAGAGAGACGCGATGATCGATCACGATTACGAAGCAAATGGGTCGCGACAAGGAGTCGCGCTTGAATCGAGAGGCAGAGAGCTCTAGGTCGACTTTGAACAGTCTGCGAACCAAACAAAGAGAGCTCTGGGTCAACTGCAAAGAGTCTTCAAAACCGACGAGCTTTTAAGTCAAACGAAGAGCCAGACGGAGCAAACCTACTACAGCTACTAGGGTTTTACACCAAGCTCTGATACCATTTAAGAAATTCTGAATGTTCTGTATATTCAACGTGTATATCAATTACATCAAGACTAGTTTATATAACCCTAATAATGAACCAAAACGGAAATACAAGAATCCTAATGCCTAAACCGAAAAGGAAAATACAAGATTGACATCACAACCTCTCCTAATATATATGCAATCATGCCTAATATATACAATGCCTAATATATACGATTATATGCTCACATTTTTCTCATCCTAAGCAAATCCCTTTTGTAATGAACACTTCCCCCTCAATGCCTCACTGAGAAAGGGCATTGTTTTTTGAATTTAGCAATGTATTTGTGTGCTTTCGTAAATTTATTGGCTACAAGAATTATACAATCCAAAGTTTTAAATGATGAAAAAGTTACCATATCACGGTTCTTTTTAGTTTGTGATTCTTGGAGTGATTAGGATTGGTAAAATTGTTATGATCGCTATTTGGAGTTTGAATGATTGGTATAATTTAGGTAAGAAATTTTTTCTAGGGCTTTTTGTAAGATGTCAAAATTTGGGAAGTTACGAAACACCATCACTTCTAAGGTGGCATGTCTATGTTGGACACGTGTTGGATGTTGACACTTGATGGACACGTACTATTATTTTTTAACACATTAAAAATTATAACAAAAAAACTTGTGGTACAATAATAAAAGTAAAATAATATAGATTTAGACACATATATCACTCATCTTTTAAACTTTAGTAATTAGTGCTATGTTGTATTTTTTTAATTTTTTTGGGGATAAATATTAACCTCTGGTTCAGTGTTTAAAATTTGGCCTATCAACCTTGAGGTTGTGGTTTCGAACCCCAAGAGCATCCACTTAGTGCAAATAATGCCAAAGGTTAGGTTTGTATGTACCCAATCTGCCCCTTCAAAACCCGTTTCAATGGGGACTAATCTAGTTGTACCTTTTCTTTTTTAATTAAAAAAAATATATATTGCGAGTGTTCCCACGTGTCATATCTTGTATTTTTTTGAAAATTACCGCGTCGGTGTGTTGTGTGTCTGTGCTTCTTAGTTGGGTTAGTACTCTTATCTAGAGAGGTTTATTAATGTTGGACAACTTAGCAAACTTGGCTTAATGCTACCAATAATGGGATGTATGGTGGGTTTTGGCTAAGAAAAATGGCTATGGTTAGGGTTTTCTATAAGGTAGAAGAAGGCTTTCAAGATTTCAGGTTTCTAGATGAAAAATGGGTAAATTTGGTTCGGTTTTGAAAGTGGTAACTGTGGGTTTTCAGAATAGAGGCTATTTGAGGCCAAAATAGTGAGTAATTTATTTTGATGGTTATATTAAAGGCCGATAGGTAGGGGAAGTGTTTAAGGTTGATTTGTTGGGGGATGAAAGTTGACTTTTCTAGGGTTGTGAATTGTAATATGATATTATTGGTTGGATATTCCACAGGAGAGGAAGAAAGAGAAGAATAAGAAGAGAAGGAAAGGGAAAAAAGTAATTCATCCTGGCAAGCATTAGAAAAATTCACATAAACACAATTTGTAATTCTCATAAACTCAACTCTCTAGAATAGAAGAATTGCATAGATGTTTATAGGCTGTTGGTTCTTCTAATTCTTAATAGGCCTATGACTTAAGATTAGGAAATTTTGACTTTTTTGACAACTAGACTATTTTAGACCAAAAAGAAACTACAGATAATATTCCAATAGTGTAATTTGACCCAAAAGATGATTCATGTGCAACCCTTGCAGCCCATGTCCACCAATTTACAAAATTATTAAAATACCTAACTGCTAAAACCTAATAAAAGTTAATAAATCTGTTTTGCAGCGTTCTATCATATGCATAAAAACAAGACTCAAATTGACCAGAAAATTATTATATAAATCCCAAAGAGTATCCCATGTCAAATTTCGGATTTGTCATTTTTGTTCTTCCTTGCTCATCATCAGTTGTTTACCGTGCTTATTGTGTTCAATAAGGTTTTCCTCTACACCCATTTTGGGTTGTTCAAATTTAAAAGGACATTAAAGTTCTTTATGACTAGGAAGAGTCTAAATTAAATGAGCTTCCAAATTTTGTATGGATTAGAGGCTTTGACATGCACAATTTCACTTTCAGTTTCCCCTTGAGATTTTTTTGAGTGCCAGGGTTATCTTTAAGCATTTTGATTTTACATATATATAATCAGTTATACTTGTTCACCATTGAATTTAGCATGGTTCTGACGCACAAAAAATTTTTTAGGGAAAGGGAAAGAAAAGTGGACTAGTTTGTGTTGACACCTTTGTGGTATTCTCTCATACCATAGTATTATTATGTTGTATTTGGAAAATCATTGTTAAAATTGAAGGTTTGTTAGAGGTCCATGAACAGCTGCTTGCTTGTCTCCAAGTTACAAAATAATTAATACATTCAATTGCTACCATCTCAGTACAAAATGATGCATTTTCTCTAATTAAGTTAGACCTGCAGAATTTTAAGATGGTGTTTTGATTATCCTTTTCTTTTGAGTGAGCATTTCATTGATGGTCGGAGAGTCTTAATGCTATAACAGGTAGGAAGAAATCCTAGGGTAGGAAAATTTCAAGTTTAACTAAGATAGTAGTATCAAGTATGAGGTCTTGTCATAAATGTGAATATTTGTTATTAGTAATATATGTGTAGAGATTGTGTGCTACTGCTGACATGCATCTGAAATGGCTTAAAATATATGCAGGAGGAGGCTGGGGAAGTGTTGGTGTTGGGAAAGCACAACAAGGGATGCCATTGCAAGAAATCAGGGTGCCTTAAAAAGTACTGCGAGTGCTTCCAAGCCAATATACTCTGCTCTGAAAACTGTAAGTGCATTGACTGCAAAAATTTTGAAGGTAGTGAAGAGAGGCAAGCTCTCTTCCATGGAGACCATGCCAATGACATGACATATATCCAGCAGGCAGCAAATGCTGCCATTACTGGTGCTATTGGCTCCTCCGGTTTTGGATCCCCTCCAGTATCCAAGAAAAGAAAAGGTCAAGAGTTCTTTTATAGGCCAACAGCCAAAGATCCATCCATTCATAGGCTTGGACAATTACAGCAGGTAAACTGGATACTTGTGTCCTCCATTATAGACAAGTTCTCGACTGGTTAGTTGAAGCAAAATCAATAACTGATAATTATTATTTGAATCTTGTTTCACATTTTATCTTCTGTGCTTAGTTGTTTGCATGATTTAACACGAATGAGTAGACTAATCATTAATTAATAACTAGTTTTTTTTTTTTTTCTCCCCTTCTGGGAACAAATACATTTGTTTGGTGTGGAAATTTTTTGCAATATCTTTATTTTCCTGTCGTGTAATTTTATTCTGTGGGTTAGTGTTAATGTTCTTTCTTATTTTTGCCCCCATCAAAATGTATTATAGTTTACCGGTGTCTTTTATATGTTTAACAGACAAACCACATAAAAGCTTCTTCTCATTCCCCTTCCTTGTCTTCCATTCCCATTTTGCGTGTTGGTAGCAGTGCAACGTTGGGCCCTTCAAAATTTGCGTACAGGTAAATTTTCTTACCTTCATGGAAATTTTAATTAAGTACTTAACTACAGAACTAACTGGCGCACAATGTTTAAAGGTCACTTTTAGCAGACATCATCCAACAACAGGACTTGAGGGAGCTTTGCTCTGTTTTGATGGTGTATTCAGCAGAAGCTGCCAAGACTCTAACAGGTATATGCAGATATTTATGCAGAAAACTTGAGTTTTAAGCTTAAATTAATTGTGGTACCTGATTGACCAATAATTTCTTTTTGTATGAAAGCATGTCCTTTTGGGCACTAAATGAGCTGCAATGTTCATTCATATGTATAGTGCTTTTAATTTCAAGAATTTTCTCCTTGTACCCATTGCTTGTGATCATTACATGGACCTCCGTTGTTTTCCAAATACACTAACTTAATTTCTCTCTAAATGTAGTTGTAAATAGAAACTTGTTGGGTGTATTTAGACAAGAATGCTACTTGGAAGGCAACATTTTAATTTACTAGCTCAAAACATTTAAAAAGACCCAGAAACTTTGCTGCATCAGCAACAAAAATAACAGCAAAAGTAGTATTTATGACATTTATAGTTCCATGACATGAATTTGTTATCCATCACATCACAAGATCTTTGTAAAATTAGAGCTTTAAAACTCTAGATGTGTAATCCAGATAGAAACCAAACTGATAGAAAGTAATAAAAGGTACATGAAAATGATTAAACGAAGGTTATGAAGGATGGGTATACTCCGAGAATGATGCCGTGTGACTATCGGGTACATATTTGGTATGAGTGCGGCTTAGATATGGGTGCATGTGTATCGAGTATGTGAAATACATATCCAATTTTGATCGTAGGGTATGGCTCGGGTATGTCTTGGGTACACACCAAGTACTTATATGAGTATGGCGAGGCTTAATATAATTTTCTTAAAAATATAAGGGTAGCAGAAAAAATAATTTGTGTCTATTTTATATAAAACAAATGAAGGGAATCTCTACAAATTTTCAAATCATAGAAAACTTATGGGGTTTTTTCATCACGGCAGAGTGAATCTCTTTCTTGATCTCGCACTCTCACAATCTCACTCCAACGTAACATCCATCCAACGCTAACGCCTTATGGCAAGTTCTCATGTCCTTTCCAACTCTCTCTCTCTCCCACATTAAACTTTGGTTTGTAGGTTAGATCCTGAACTAATTTTGGCATAAAATTCTAATTTGTACGTTGGTTTAGCTACTTTTTTGCATTTGGTTTTCTAATTGTTATATATCGTGTATTATTACAAATTATAAACAATATTATTTTATGGATGTACCCCAGCCATGCCTTTTATTTTATTTTTTTTATAAGGTTTTACTATATTGGTGTATCCATACCAACATCTGTATCCATATCCATATCCATATTTGTATCCATATGCGTGCTTTATAGAGCAAAGGACATGTAATAAAATAGATATAGGTGGCGAAAGTTGGATAGGGGGAGGGATTGAATCAAAAATGGCAGTATAAGGCAGCAAAGCTAAAGATCTTGTTAGTTTTCCTTTTATCCTCTTCTGTTTTCGTTTCATTTTTTTAATTAATTTGCAACATCATGGAGATTATGTTCAAGCTAGTTTGGTTACAAGTAAAGTTTGGAGCTTGCCACCTCCTGCAGGATATGCAAACTTCCCTAGATGACATTTTTCTCATCTAAGTGGGTTATTGACCTAAAAACTGATGACTAATCGGATTAGTATCTTGACGAGAACATTTTTGTCAACCTTTTCAGTGAGCTCAACAAAAATGCATCCTTCAACCCAATTGCTTCATTTTAATACTGTATTCTAATACTTCCAGACCAAAGAAATGCAATGGAGAGCCAGGCACAAGATCGGATGGAAAGCTCTGTTGCTTCATCAGCTCAAGACCGGTTACAAAGCCAGAAGGGATCCGAAGCTGAGAACACTGTAGCTGATGATTGCTCAAGTGGAAACCATGCTGAGAAAATCAGTTCTGATGAGTCCAATTCAGATGGTGTGGATATATCAAAAGGAAGGCCAATGTCTCCTGGAACTTTGGCATTGATGTGTGATGAACAAGATGCGATGTTCATGGCTGCTGCTTCCCCTAAAGGGTTAATGAACCATGGTTTTAATGCATCTTCACAGTTGCCTAATGGGCAAGGCATGACAGAAGTTTATGCAGAGCAAGAAAGGATAGTTTTGACAAAGTTTCGAGATTGTCTCAACAGGCTCATCACTTTAGGAGAAATAAAAGGTAAGTTTCTATCTCCCTCTCCTCTGTCCTCATTTGAAAATTTGAAACCCAATTGATGGGATAGTGAAGATAAAAAGCTATTTAGCTACTCTTGAACAGGAAAAAAAATCATTTGTGACCAAAATTATTTTTATGAATATCTCTGTTTAAAAGATGTGAAAAAACTTTTGAATCTTAGTTTAATGTTTTAGTTTTCCTTTGGGACCATTATTCGTCAGATGTTAGAACAAGGAAGATAAGTCAGAACTCAGATTGTTAGGACCATTCAATTTGGTTGATTACCGAATTTCTCAAGTTTATGTTGTGGAAGTTTCTATTTGCACATCACACACTCTCTTAGATCACACCATTTTTTGAATTATAATTTTGTCTCAATCAAATTACCATTTTGGACGATGGAACACACCTTCCTCTGTACAACCACTACCACAGTGATCCCTTCCTTCCTTGTTGCCCCTCCCCACACTGCCACCCTTCCCCTCCCCCGGCCCAACCTTATTGAGTAATGGTGCGTGATGAGATAAATGGTGGTGTGCTACAAAGTTTCCATATGTTTAGGATAGTTGTACCCGTACTATGAAATATGAATCATGCCTTCCTCAATACCTGGTTACAAGACTGTCAATGGCTTCTCTGCAATTGGAAAGTTTCCATTGCTCCAATGTCATTACCACCATGAAAACTTGGCATCACCAGAGTGGTGTCAGTTTGTAACTTGATGCAGCAATGCATCTTTCATGATACTTGGTCTGTTTTAGACTTTCTGATTACGGAAGAGCTGAACCTAGTTATTTCCCAGTGCCAGGGGATTAAAGGCTTACATATTTTAGCTGCATGATCCACATTATTATTTCTTTTGTATATTCTGAAACTAATGATGGTTGTCCTTGACATATTACAGAAACAAAGTGTTCTTCGTTGGCCAGAACCGATTCAGGAGGTCTAAAAGACCCATTAGGTAACGGCGTTGCAAATGCCAGAACAGAAACAAGAAATCAACAAGAACCCTTTAGGAACGGTGTTGCAAAATCTACTGTTCCACCTACACCCATGACATCAACCACTGCTTCAAATAATGACCCGTTTTCAAAGATTTCATCCCCCGCAAAAATGGGAATGTAAAACCAAAGACCGAGAAAGAGATGTAAAAAGATTTAGGACAGAAGATTCACCCCCACAGGTATGCTGCTACATCTCTGTAACATTAGGCCATTGTTGTCTTGTCTTTGTTGTAGCAGCGCGATTATATCAGCTCCTGTCATTTAACTGACCAGGGTCTGATCCATTTCTTACATTATTCATTTAACTTAGATTTGATATCAAATTTTCAGTCTCGAGTACAGTTCTTTAATAGGTTATGTAGAATGCAGAGCCATATAAATGGTCGAGATATTGTTAGATGCCGATGATCATCTTAGCTTGTATCCCTAAATTCTAGGGCAAATTTTTATTGAATCACATTGCTGAGAAACAAAAAGCAATTTTCTCATTTTTAGGGGTTTGTAACTTAGAATTCCTGATTTTTTTTGTTTTTGTTTTTGTTATGTTCTATTTTGGATGTTGACCATTTTTCAATAAAGTTGTGCGAAAGGGATGAACAGGACCAACCTACATTAAGGTGGGTTACCTCGGCTATACCCATGCTGTGACTACTATCTTATTTAGCGTGAGTTTGTGGTTGGGGACGGATTTGTAATTAATGCAAAGGAAACCTTACGATGATTTTGCTAAGGGTAAATTATACTTTTTTAACCCCTATACTTTGACCCAATTTTCACTTACCAATTGTTTCAATTTAAATAATTTAGTCTTTACATTTTAAGTTCTGTTTCGATTGAGTCTTGCCATTCAAATTTGATGTTAAAATTAATGATTTTGTAGCATGTGTCAATTTCTAGACGTGTACACGTAAAAAATTAATAATAATTTGCATAGAAAGATCAAATTGAAATTGAACTTAAAGTGTAAGGATTAAATTGTTTTAGTTAAAATAATAAAGTGAAGGGTTGTTTGGGGTGTCCTCAATAAGTACACTTTTTGTCTTTTTAGACTAAAAAGTTAAGAAAAAAAATATGAATGTTTAGGTTAATTTTGTCTTTTTATGAAAAAATGTGTATTAAAAAATTGTATAAATAAAATGTGTAGTGGAAGAAAGGTGATTGATTGTACAGCTGCCTGCGGCTGCCCAGCATGTCTATACAGAAAAATAATCAACTCTTTCAGGGTAAATAATTTTTGGACAGTGATGGTCGGTTCGTGGGGCCATCATGAGTTTCATTTTAATAATCTGAACCGTTCAATATGTACAATTCATCGAGTATTATATGTCTGTAAAAAATTACGTTGATCGGATATCGATAGCTATACGATCAGATTAGTTTTTTTTCCAACAGTTAATTATCACACCATCCGTTTTGTTTATACAAAACTGATTTAATCATATAGTTAACGATATTCGATCAATGTGATTGCTTATAGGAATATAGACGAGTTTTACATGTTGAACGGTTTGGATTATCAAAAGGGAGTCCTTAGTGGGCCCTAAGGGCCCAACATTTTTGTGACTTTACATATAAATTTTTTTTTTTGACCCAAACAAAGTGTGTAATGCCTGTCTCTATTACAAGACGGCTGAAAATAGCTGCTCAGTCCATTTGTTGTATTGCAATATATAAAATATTTTTTTAATATTTTTTATTTGTGAATAATAATATCTTTTTTACTTTTTGTGTAACTTTTTGACTTTTTAAATTATTTTTGAGATGTCAAACTTGACTTTAAATCAAATTACATGGGTAAAAAGTGTAAGTAACCTTTTTGTTAAATTCCTTTGGATCACTCCTATCCACCATCAAGATGTTATGCCCAATATTGGAATCTTCCTCTTATCATTAAGTTTGTAAGAAAATTGTTTGATTTCAATTATGCATATTCAGGCTTCATCCAGGCCACTGGTGAGATTTTGTGGTAGGCAATCAAGGTGGAAATTTTGTTATTTTCTAATGCTATGTTTTGATCAGAATTTGATTAAGCGACGAAAAAATTCAACTTGTTTATTTTTTTACAAGTAATCAAATGAAAAAGAATTGAGAAATGCATATTCATTTCATTCTCTTTTCTGAGCCCAATTAAACAAAATCATTTTGATAATAGTGGCTAGATTCTATTTATTAACATACATCTTCGCACCATGTTCACCCCAAAAAAAATAAAAAAATAAAATCCAAGAAACCATATTTGGAAATCCATGTCAAGGGCAATGGGTGACAGGGATGGCAATGGGAGTTAACGGGGGTGGATATTAATTCTCCATTTTCATTTTCCATTTTCCATGGGTACCACTCTCCCCATTTCTTTATAGGTTTGGATTTTTCCCAACCCACTTTAATTCCCCCCCCCTTTTTTTTTTAAGGTTCACAATAAAAGCTAAGTATACCTTCAATCTTTTTTCTTTCTTTTTTAATATATTTAATGTTAACAATTTTTTTATTTTTATTTTTTATTTTAAAGGTTTTAGCTAAATATACCTTCAATCTTTTTTCTTTCTTTTTTAATATATTTAATGTTAACAACTTATTTTTTTTTTATTTTTTTTAAGGTTCACAACAAAATCTAAATATACATTCAATCTTATTTTATTTTATTTGGTTCAACAACAAAATCAAATAAATATTAATTAATTAGTTAAAAAGTTTGTTTTATAATAATCAAATATATAATTTGGAGACAATCAAATAAGTTTTAGTAATTGAAAAAAAAATGTAGAAGAACATGGAAGATTAAAAAAAAAATTACAACCATCTCTCTCTCTCTCTCTCACTCTCACTCTCTTCCCTACATGTTATAAGAACCTGTTTACAATGTTATAAGAGCCTGTTTGAAGAAATAAAATGTGAAAGAACCTGTTTGAAGAAAGTACCAACAAAATAAAAAAATTGTAACAAATCCTAATGCGCGCACAAAAAAATAAAAAAATTGTAACAAATCCAAATGCACAACAAAGATCTTAAAGACAGTACCAACAAAATAATGTCAAAAAACATTTTGCTAACCAAAACCCACATACGGATAACTTCACTCTAAATACACATGTATGTCAAAGTATCTAACTGTGTAATTGTAAACATCATAAATGAATTGCACAAAATTATTAAAGTAGTTAGATGTTCATAGTAAGGCTTAATTCAACTAGAAACAAAACACACTAAACTCCCAATGCACATTCTTTGGCATTTCAGCTCCCAATTCAACAAAGTGCATTCTTTGACATTTCACCTCTAAGTCTTTACAAGTTTCTTACAATAGCAACACTCCAGCAGCAGCAGCATTTCAACAGGAGCAACGCTCCAGCAACAAAACCTACACAAGAATAATAAAGATCAAAGAAAAAAATGTTGCTCGACTCTAATTCACATTCATATATTGAAAGACAATGTATAACATGTAAAAAGATCCTACTATGAAAGTTTGAGCCGTCTAACAAGAGAAATGCAAAAGAAAGATCAACTTTAATTCACATCCATCTCATCATATATAGTAGCATAACCAACTGATTCCAATGTTGAATTACCTGAAAAATAAGAAAAAAAATTAAGTACTAAGACTATTCAATGAAAATATATTTATTTTAAAAATAATTACATATTGATTTATTTAAGTACTTGCATCTCTATAGCCCACAACCAACTCTGTGCACACATCAATGCTTCCAAAGTATCTGGATGAAGTCTACTACGATATGGGCTCACCAACCTACCACTAGTGCTAAATGCAGACTCCGAAGCAACAGTGGATACCGGAATAGCTAAAAAATCCCTAGCTATTGCCTGTAAGGTTGGATATTTCGATGCATTTGATTTCCACCAAGTCAACACATCAAAATTGGGAGTTCTTGTTACAACATCCTCTTCTAAATAATGGTTTAACTCTGATGTTACATTGTTGATTTTTTTCTTCGCTTTCTATTAATAAACAAATCATAATCTGAAACTACCTCTGAATCCCCAAAATTTGAACTTGTAGAAGATTCAACATTAGCATCAGTTCCCAAACTAAGTTTTCCTTTGTTAGGTTTTATTCTTGGCAACCCCATTTGACAAAACTCCTTTCAGTTGTATTTATTTTCGCACTTTTATTTCAGTGAGACTATGAGTGTTTAGATGCGAATCCAACTCGAATTGTTTTGACAAAACTCCTTTCAGTTGTATTTATTTTCGCACTTTTATTTCAGTGAGACTATGAGTTTATTAGATGCGCATCCAACCCGAATCGAGCCTTGCAGAGAAGTTTGTGATGTTAATGTTTTTAAGATTGCCACTTCGCTGATTATGACGGGGATCGAGCTGGAAGCAAAATGCAAAAATGCATTCAAAATTGCCTGTCCGCTCGAGCGGACATACCCACGCTCGAGCGGAGAATCCCTGGTTCCAGCAGTTTTGGTCGCCTGCAAAAGTACTGAGATGTGTGATTTCGCGCTCGAGCGGGTTCTCTAGCGCTCGAGCAAACCTCTGTTATATCACGCTCATATTTTGCTAAAGACGCTCGAGCGGGCTGTTGGGCGCTCGAGCGGAGATCGCGGGACAGATTCTATAAATTCGCGTGTTGGGTCAGATTTTAGGATTACTACTCCAGATCTTCTTTTTGGGTTCTAGGGTTTATATCTGGGGATACTTTGTGAGTTTTCTTTGATGTTTTGATTGAGTATTCAACTCATGTTTTAAAGAGTATACATCAAAGGTTTTGTTTGTTCTATAAAAGAGAGAGTTGTTCTTCGGTGGATTCTGAAGAATTCGAGCCTGAAGCTTTGGTGGATTCCGGGGTGGCTCATCGTAAAGACAATTCCGAGGTGAAGACGGGGTTGGAAGAGGCACATAGAGGTTGGTTCAATTAGGCGTGGATTCGCTAGGTAATTGAGAGTATACCTGTGTAATTCCTTTAAATCTTCTTAGTGGATTGTTTTGTGGCTATTGCCTGTGGTTTTTTTATCACAGTTGGAGGTGTCCAATTGTGGTTTTTTTTCCACGTAAAATCGTTGTGTCTCTGTGTCTTGATTGTTTGATTGGGATTGTTATATTCTGCTTAAAATTGATACATAATCACAAATCAACATCTAGGGGATTTCTAGATTTTTCATCCTTGATACTCTTGCAACAAATCATAACAAAGTTGGCAAATCTTCGCAATTTCCTCTTCAGCTGTATCTCCATAAAGTTTATCAAAATAAAACTTCAACACACTAAGTTTGTACATAGGATCAAGTACAACAGCAACCCCTATAAGACCATGTATAATAACCCAATATTTGTCAAACTTTCCCAACATTTTTGATGCCATTGATCTAACAACCTCAATTGAACAAGAGAGCCATTGGGAGATAGTTATCCTAATCTCACATAAATTTGGAAAAGCAACATTAGCTGTGGGATATTTAGTTCCAGAAAACAATTCAGTTGCTCTATAAAATATTTTAAATCTCCCACAAATTTCTTGAGCGAACTCCCACTCCTCCTCACTTGGCAATGTTGTATATTGGGTCTCTTTATATTTCAAATGGTAAAATACATCCTTATATAACAAGGCAGTTTGAAGCATCAAATATGTTGAATTCCACCTAGTAGCACAATCAAGTTCCATCTTTTTAGTATTCAATTTTTTT